CAGCTCATTGCTGTTGGTCAGAGACAAAGAGGGGTTTGAGACACTTGATCTGGACAGTGGCTGAACACCAGATACTCACCAGGAGCTGTTAAAAGCTGCAAGGTTGGACCTGAAATTCTACCCAGCTGCTAACAGACCAGAGAAAATGCTCCAAACTCTTACCTGTCAGAAGAAGAACCAGTAGGAGATCCTTGAGTCTGGAGAACAGAGCAGATGGTCCCTCCTTGAGATGCTCCAGCCTTCCTCAGTTTAGCACTCCGAGGCAGTGCAGCAGCCATTCAGTATCATTCTGCTCGTCATTTCTTTGCTGCACTTAAAAGTCAGACTTGCAGCAATGAAAGTAACAGCTGTTTGTAAACTGACATTTCAATGACAATTGTCAGGAGACAATAAGCATAAGGCAGCTGACTCCTCACATGCAGAGAGCTGCAGCAGCGGGGGCACAGAGCAGCTGCAGATGCTGGAAGACAGCACTGCATTGATCTGCAGTTGGGAAGGTCATCTCAGTGACTGAAGACTGCGTTTTGTGGCTTGACTCTTCTTAGAAGCTATAAAGGCAATAAACTACTGCCTTATATCCTTATTTCTAATAAAAAGCAAGTATTTTTGTCCTGGTTAAAATAATAAATGTAACATAAATACAGGCCAAAACCCCATCTCCTGGAGGTAACCTTCTTAATTAGTACTAGAGTCTTTGCTTTTTTTGCTCTCCCAAATTAGTAGTGGCTTATATTAAGACCACCAAGAGCCTGATGAGCAAGAAGGTATCTTTGCTCATGTTTTCAAAGCCATTTGTAGCAGAATCCAATAGGAACCAAGTGATTTCCTCATGATTAGTATTGTTTTATGATGGTAAACTTAATACTGAGGGGTGGTCTCAGTCTTTTCCTCTTTTAGGAGCCATGCCTCTGATGCACTGTTGGAAGACTTTGTGATGGAGGCACAGGGCACGTTATGCCTTTGTGTGTAGTTGGGCCAAATACGCAAATGAGAAGCGAGCGCTAAAAAAAGTCTCCCTCTGAACCAACTGCATCGCTGCCTGAACTTGACTCACAGCTCAGTAACCATATGCTTATATTCCACTGACAGTTGCCATTTAAATGTCAGTTTACAAGCAGATGTTGAGAACCAGGCTTTGTGTCATTAATTAAATCACAGAGATGCAAAGTTTGAGGTCTAACACTGCTTTGGGCTAATTACGAGAGCAGCAGAGTCCGGCAGACCTTGATGCACCAGGGCAGTCAGGGTTAAGCATCACAGGCAAAGGAGTGTGTACCTGAGGTCACTGCAATCACTGCCTCTGTTAATGGGCTGTAGCAGCCAAAGAAACCTGTTGTTGGTGTTGTTTGGTGACAATTGTAATGTCGTAGACAATTTCAGGTTTTGTGGGATGGCTGGCAGTAGCCAAGATAGAGACAAAACACTGGATTATAAAAGAAGACAGATTTAAGTGGTGAGGTGCAGGAAAAAAAAAAGACAAAAACCTATTCAATAGAAGAACAAGGAAAACCTGGAAGGGTGGAGAAGGAAGCCCTCTCTACTCTACCAGACATAAGCATGTATTTAAAATCCTTCCCAATAAAGTTCATAATGAATTTAATTCAGTCCCCTATGGCCCAGAGGAATGTTCTGAGTAATAAAAAAGTATTGCTAAGGGACAGATGACTGCCAAACTCCTATTCTCTGCCAGCAATGCATATTTATATTATTGGCACTTAAACACTACGTTTATTTTACTACATAAATGATCCTTTGTCACATATTAAGAATTAATACTCTGAGATTGACTTTTGGGAAGTTAGAATAATGATTCCTAAATTTAAAGCATTGTTAAATTTGCATGCTTTATTTTTAGAGGTTTGGGGTGGGTTTTTACAGATTGAAATCGTACTTGAATGTGGTCATTCCTATTTTGGGTAAACTATTTTATGGCTGTTTTATGGTTTAGCTATTTAAATTGGTTTTAGTCAAGGGTCTTTTCATGTCTTGGTTTTTTCTGGTTGTTACCTTGAAATACCTACAACAATGTTAAATGAATTGTAAGCTCCCACCCTTACTTAAAGGTTGAGATGTACTCATAGTCAATAGATAACACAAGGGCTCCTGGCTTCTGTTGGCACTGTCTAATGCACTTCTGATGATTAAACTGGAATGATTCAAATGTGTATTGGAAATTTCAAGCACCAGTAATGGAGGTTGCAGAACCACAGAGTTACTTTGTTTATAAATATCATTATTCCGTGGGAGATAAATCTCTTCTTTCATCAAGTGTGGCACTTAGTGCAGTAGTCAGGAAAATGGGGGCGGGGGGGGAAAGCCCAGAGCTACTAATTTTTTTCCCTTTAATATGGAGTAGAAGGCAAAGTTGGATATGAGATGAAATGTGAAGAATAATTCCTAGCAGGTGGCAGGCTCAAGCGAGAATGCATCAGTACTGGTGTAAGATGCAGTCTGGTTTGCATTCAAGCTGATTAAGACTATTTAAGCACCTTTGGCACATTACAGTACAACACAAACTCCTGGAGCCTCTGTCCAAGTTTGGACTGATGGCGGCAGCAGCACTGAACATATAGAGCCTTCCTGAGGTGCTCTTCTGATGTGCTTCAGTTTACTCCATACTGCCATGTTAAGTGTGAACAGTGGAGAAAATATTGTGAGTCACTCAGCATGTTTATTTACATGGTGCACCTCCTTTGAGTCAACAAGCATGTTTTCAAAGTGTAAAAATGGACAATTAGTCATCCCTGGAAAACAACTGTTTTGCAGACATCCCCTCCCATCCCCCAAAAGACTGACATCACCACACTGTGCAAGGGCACAAGCAGATAATTTTTCACCTGCTGTAAACCCTAACAAATATTCAGTTTTTCAGAACAAAAGTGTCTGAAAAATATAACATGGCATCTTAAGCACTTGGCAGTTTGAATTAAAAAGAAAGGTCAATGGCAAAGAATTCAGATACAAGCAAAAAATCAGACATCTCAGAGACTGCGGTTGAGCTTTAAAACTGAATGTACTCATTGTTTGCTCACAGTTTTTTCACAGCAGCATTCATAATTTAGGAAACTATTAATCAGCATGATGAAGTATCCTGTTTCTAACCAAGAACAACAACAACAAAAAAAATGACACAATACAGCTTATTTTCATTTCCCTTGAAAGAGATCATCTGGTAAAATTTGACGAGAAGTCTGCAGACGTGGGTTTGTGAACTTGGCATTTAAGTTGCACCAGAGAAAAAGCCCCATGGGAGCAGCAGAATCCTTTTGCTGCCTTTTTATAAGGCCCATCACAAGTCATTTCTCAGGGGGCATTATTTTCTGTTTGTCTGTGCCAAGACTGCTACCCCATATTTATTATGCTGACAGCATAAGCACTGAAGGCTACAAAATTTGCAGGACTAATACAAAATTCAGATCAACCTTTGACAGAGACACAACAGGTACTGAAAAGTGAGGCAAGGCAGCAGGGGAAGAGCAAGCAAAGAGGCAGGGAAAGGGTTGTGTGGAAATGAGAGTAAAGAAACAGTGGCTGAGGAGAGTTCTCATAGGCAAAGAACAGAAAATGGCAAAGGTAACACATTTACCACTGGCCTGCCAACAACAGCCCTTTGGGGCTCTTAATCCAGTGTTGTAGTTTAAGATGCACTCCTGGCCCCGTCCCACCAAAGTTATTGTACCATTAGGTGATTACAGAAGCAAGGGATCAAAAGGAAAACTTTTTTTGGGTAGCTCATTCAGGGAGATAATGAATTTGTTGAAGTAATTATTGCTTTCATTAGCAATTTTTTTTTTTAAAAGGCGTTTCATACCTTTCCTTTGCTCGGGGGTAGTGGTGGAGAGATCTTAGGACATACTCTGATGAAGCTCTAGCAGTTTCAAAGTTGTCAAAAATCTTTCTTCTCTTTTCTATCTCCCTTCTCTGCTACATTCATATCTTCCCACTAGAGAAGTATCATTTTCCTGGCTTCAAAAGTCAGTGTGTGCTATTTCAGAACAGCATTCCAACAGTGACCTGTTCAGTGGGGGCAATCTGACTCCGTCTAGACAGGTAAGAATTAAAATGCTTCTGTGCTGCTGTTGAGAGCAGAGGTCAGACATTGGATGAGATTAGCAATGTAACACAAGTCTGCGCAAGTAAGAACTATCCCATCAGGATACTCCCTGCTGTTCTGTGTGCCTGCAGCAGGGAAGGAGCCAGCCTGCACCTTCTGCTCCCTCCAAGTGTTCCTGTAAGGCACGTTTCCTGCAAAGAGAAAAACAAAGTGGGGACAGTAAACTGGTGGCTGCACTGTGTGCCAGTAGTGGGGGTGCAGTGAGAGGAATTACTTTGTGTACCTGGTATCTCCTGTAAGGTGTCAGGATTTCCAGTACTGACACACACCAGCAGTGAGGATGCCATTGAGGATCCAGGTGCCTTGTCCCTGCTCCGTCTCCTGCCCGGGAACAGCCAGCTCAAGTCACTGGTATGTTTCTGCAGGGCTGCTGCTCTGACGATGGCACCACCACTGCACCCTACTGAACACCACTCCACACAGGCAGAACTTTTAGACACCCAGCACTTCAGTCACCCTCTTTTTAATGCCATTAGTGATGCAGCAACATGTATTTATATTTACATATAAATACAAAATGGTCCGATATCACATTTTTAAGCATAATTTATAATCTGAAACTGCTTACACTTTCATGACTAGGTTTGGGTTTTTCTCATTTACATTCATCATTTAATTCCACTGGAATTTGATTTTTAAGAAAGCCCAACATATCTTAATTACCATAAAAAGATCCATACACATTTTACTTAAAAATAGCTTCTGTAAGAGGAAATCTACCAAAAATAACAAGAAATATATTATTATGCATACATTTTCTTTTTTGTAAAGTACAAACAAGAATCTGATCTCTTCTGGGTATTGCCTGATCTAATATGGCTATAAGTTCTATTTATTTTGTTTGTTTTTCAAAGTAAAGGGAAAGACATAAGAAATGTAAGACCAAAAACCAAAATAAAATACATTCTTTTCAAAGATACAGATGATCAGAGAATGAACACTTTGAAAACTAAAAAATGACAACAGGTACAAAGAAACACTACCCAAGCACTATGTGGCCTTTTGTCAGAGCATGTGCTGCAATGACCTTGTAACAGTTATTAAAAATAACAAACAAAAAAGTGCTACTGGCAGAGAAAGCTGTCAAGCAAACATTGAAAAATTGGTACTATTTCCTAACAAGTAAGTGCAGAACTGATAGTATTTTATGTGTTTTCCCCCATGTATGCACACCTCTTTCTTCCTCTTTCTGCTCGCAGGGCTGATCATTGCCACTCTGGCGATATGCTGGATGCCAAACCAGGTGAGAAGGATCATGGCAGCTGCTAAACCGAAGCAGGACTGGACTGTCCCCTACTTCAGAGCGTACATCACCCTCCTTCCCATCGCCGACATCTTCTTCTACCTCAGCTCGGTGGTGAACCCCCTCCTGTACAACATCTCCTCGCAGCAGTTCCGCAGCGTGTTCCTGCAGATCCTGCGCTGCCGCCTGACCATCCAACACGCCAACAGGGAGAAGTTCCTCAGAGCCAACCAGAGCTCCAGAGCGCGGAGCAGCCGGTCCCTACGCCCGCTGCTCTTCATGTCGTCGAGGCGCAATTCTTCCACCAAGGGCAACACCAAAGTTTTCCTAAGCACCTTCCAGAAGGAGCCCATGCCTGACTGCAGTCCACAGAAGCCAGGTCCTGAATCACCAGAGCCCAGCCTGGAAGCAGTGTCCCTCGAGACTAGCTCAGAGCATGGTCCAGACGCACAGAACGGCCTTTGTGAACATCAAGTATGACTTCATAAGGCAAAGTTAATGATTAGCAATGAACTTAAAAAAACACGGAAATTAAAATGACCCAGGAAAGTGACTACATCTCAAAAGGAATAACACAGATGGGTTTGTTTCCAGTTATGCAAAAAGAGCAGGAGTTCTGTATCCTGCTGGGATTTTTAAGCACACACTGGAAATTCAATCTGCTAACTGAACTCATTAGCTGCCAAAAATATCAGCCCCTCTCTCCACACAACCACTGAACTTCCCTCGCTGTTGACAGGGATTTGGAAACAAACAGAAAATAATTGCAGTGTCTTTGAAGAAAGGAGGAGACAGAACAAATTGTGTCGGGGCAAAAAAAAAAAAAACAAACCACCAAACTTGCTTGAAGTTTAGCAGTACAAAAACAACAGAGTAAATTTAAGAAGCAGAACAGTGGTTATCACTTGTGCCCTTGGCACCACACCAGAATTCCCCCTCTTCTTCGGCCGGGGTCCATTGCAGAGCGGAGTGTTGCAGCAGCTGATGCAAACAGAGTTCACCTTCCCTGGAGAACAGAAGGACTGGTACCCAGCAGAGGCGATCAGACATGCAGCTGAAGACGCGCAGGACTTGCGGTACATGATTCCTGTGACACAGAACAAAGGTTACTTAGTTTGATGTGAACATGGTTTTGCTTTATAACAGGGTTCATGCTTGAAAACTGTTGCAAAACCAGTTTACGTTCCCAAAGCAGTGCTGGTGATTAAGGCAGACACCTCAGTGGTGACACGACCAACAACTCTGCGCTGCAGGAGCAGCACAGTCACTCTGCTTTGGATTTCTCTAGTTTGATTCTGGTTGGAACCAAAAATATTACAGACCTGATTTACATAATGTATATCAAATGATGCATTTTATAACTGGAATTTTTCATCTTTCAGAATAAACTGTCTGAATAACTATAACTGAAATGCAATTACTGAGAAAATTAGTTTTGTTTCTATTGCTGAACAAGTCTGAGTTAAGGTGTCTAAGTAATTACAGCTTTCTATGCTGTTAATTTGTCTTTTGAGTGTTTTTTTTTTCCTTTTCTTGTTCCTTCACCACACACAGACAAGAAACCAAGAGTAAAAGGAGAATGAATATCAGCAAAACTTTCATCCTCTCCCCTTCCTCTTTAATTTTTTTTTTTAAAGAAAAACTATAAGTGCTCTTCCAGGTAATCTCAGTTCTTGCTTGCCTTTGAAGTTTAATAACCTCAACAACAAAAATTTCCATTTCTATAGGAACGTCTTGTCTGAGTTGAAAGTCTTCTCTTTTTTAATGTAATTTAAATTAATTTTAATTAATAATCTAATTTATAATTTCTCAAATTGTTTTTAACTGAAAAAAAATACATTCTAATGTACACAGCTGTTATTTGAACATGGTTTTTAAAGGCTTTAAAATACACAGTTGTGTTTTCTCAAGCTGCAGTGGAAAATGGTTATGGCAGTTCCACCACTCATTCCTCTAATATTCTCCTGCAACTGATACAGTAGAAATTGTGTCTTAGAAAAACAGACACATAACAGAAATAGATAATGGATGGTTTGCTCCTATTGCCTTGCAGTTACAAGGAGAGGTAAATATTTCCAAGAATAAAAATCACTGTTCCTTTTGAACATGGGATTCTCAAAAAGTTGTTTTTTTTTTCCTCCTGAAGAGCATGGGAATAGGATTCTCTTGAAGAATGGTGCTTCTCCATCCTATATCATAGTCCTAGAATGTTTTCAAACCCACAATGATGGAGACATTTTTTTGGAGGGAGTGAAGCAGGAATATGACCCATAGGTACCGAACATGCAATACCTGCAGGTACCTGTTCAGTCCCCAGGGACTTTGGAAACAAACACTACAGCACCTTCATGATCCAGTGGATACCTCTGCAGTGGCAATGGGCACTGCACTACTGAAGGCTGCGGGTAGAACACTGTTTGTTTGGGTTGTGCTCAGAAAGAAGGATTTCCTGTCTTCAGAAACTTTTAATTAAAGCAATTCTTTTATACTGTCACAACACTGCTGCCATCCCAACAATGCAAGGGTTTCCTTATTTTGTGTTCTCCCTCTGCAAATCTCAAGCCTGAAACGTTTTGAGGCTATCTATCTTGTTAAACTTATGAAGAGAAGCCCTCAAGTGAGTGTTAAATCTTCCTCTGTCTCCAGTGAGCTTCAATCAATCAACACAGCAGGTAGAGCCTTTTCTTGAGAAGGAAGAGGAGCTACAGGCTGTTCTCGCTGTAACAGCAAAGGCACACAGATCAAGCAGCACTGCAGTAATCTTTATTACTACAGCTTGCAAAAAGAAGGGAGCTCTGTCTCTGTTGACAAACCACTCTTGTCAAGAACCCTCAACGGTGCTGCCACTGGTTGGCTTTACAATACCGAAATCTCAGTTGATGTTCCCCACAAGAACCTGGTACTTTTCCACGTTCCTCCTGCAGTATTCCCAGAGCCAAGGCATAAATGACCCTTCCCATGTCTACAATTAACTTTTTTCCTTCCCCCTTCCTCTTGAGAAAGGAATCCTGTATTCAGTGAAACTAGGCACAGTGATTGTCCTCTGTTCCCTAATCCCACATCTCCCCATCACATATTATTTCTCTGTAACTACAGCCAGCTATCATTCCTCAGTCTTCCATATCAACAGCAGTGAATTTGACTTTCCCCTCAAAGACCAAGCCTCCAAAAAGCTTTTGACACTGGCATATTTCCTATTCCTGTAATTTTATAGATCACTCTCTTCCTGCCATTTCCTTTTCACAGGTTTCCTGCTAAGTCCTGTTCACAATTTGAACCAATAAGTGATTTATTAGTTTGGGTCCCTGAAATATCACACTTTGCACTTCTTCCATAGATTAGGAGATTAGAATTGTTCAGAGCTGTGAACAACTAGATGATGCTCTTTGAGGCATGGTTTTCACCAGGCAACTCCAGGAAACCTCTACTCCATGTGTTTACAACAGCTCTGTTCTCCAGGATCAATTCCACAGAACAATCCTGAGCATCTTTTGAAGTCAAAACACAGTATTCCTGTACAGACTGAAATTTTATTTCTCAAAGTTTCATGAACAGATGAACCACGTTCACACCCAAACAGAGAGAATAATCTAACTAAGAGTAAAAAATTTGTAATGCTTCTCCTGTGGCTTTTCTGTAAATGTCTTACAACAGGAAATTACAGTCCCAAATGACTCTTTATCCCCATTCCCAGCTCTAATCTGAATTGTAACATGATTTTTTACATAAATAAAAAAGTTAGTATTTCTATCAGCTTTTCAATAGCTCCTTGGCTAATGACGTGCCCTTCCATCCAAAATTTCGTCTTTAAGTACTAATAGATTCTTTTGATCTTACAAATCAGCTGCTATCACACTAAGTGCTTTTTTAAGAAGCACCGGGTATGAAACAAACTTGATCAGCATAGAAAGGCTCTGCTGTTTCTCTTGTTCTGCTGTATCCTTACAGCAAGTTACAAATGCAAACAGACAGAGGTTGATGGAAAAAAGAGATAATGTTAGCACTACAGGAGTGACATTTTTAAAACAATTGAGCTGAGAACTTCACTTATTCTTAAACCTTGTTCCTATCATATAGTGATTCCAGATTAATTGTGGTAGGATATAAATTAGTATAACTGACTTCTGTGGTTTGATGGCAGGGAAACAATCTCCTTGCTCCAGCAAACAGGTTAATGGACCCCAGTAACTGCAGCTCACCCCAAGTTCAGACGGGACAGCAGCATCCTTTCTGGGTTATATCTAGAGATGTCTCCTCAAACTCCTCCTTTGCAGTGGATTATTGTACTGCTGAACCATTCCAAAACGATTCCCGAGATCTTCCTGAATCATTTGCCACCAGCAGGTTGAACTGCAGACAGTTCTTCAAAGTGGTTATCTGCCTCATAAGACTCATACCACAGACATAACTGCTAATTACCAGGTATTCTTGCTTGAACAATCAGCTTGATACATGCATTAACATATCACCCAGAAAAATAACTGCAAATCTTTCTGGAAGCTTTTCTTCTATCTCAGATTGTTCTGAGTAGCTGGCTAGGTGAGGAGACTACGTTTTACACTCTGCTTTTGCCAGGATGGGGTCATTCCCAGTTATCTACCTTCAACAACTAGTACACAATTTCTATTTACTCCTACTCAATTAGTATATTTACTGCCCAATCTCTTGATGGATTAGCCCTGAGTAATTTTTCCCTTTTCATGGATTCAGCAGCCCCCCAACAGCATTGTGGTTATGCATATATGTAGGCACTGTAATGATAGTTTACTGTGAAGTACCCACTACTGACAAATTGATTTTCCTTCATTTTCGCTTCAAGGTTTGTGGAGGTGGCCAAGGATGTAGTTCAAGTACAAGTACTTTTAAGAAGAGAGGGAAGTACACAGAACTAGAATAGCTGTGTGATAACACGCTAATATTCTACACCCTCTCCTGTCACCAAGTACCTACTACAACTACATTTGTTTCCAAGGCTTTTTTTAAAGCAGCTTTGGGCTTAAATTTGACATTGAGAATTTATTCCTAGACTAAGCAACTTGCCTATTGTTACATCTCTCTCTTCCCCACAAGTGATCACATATTTAGACAGTGTCAAGGCCTAAATTACTATTTCTGCCTTATTCCAGTGAAGTGATGGATGTAAATCTTAAGGCTTTTCTATAGTTTCTGCTTGCAATATTGATTTTCTCACCTACATCCAGTCTAGTCCTGTGTGTCTGCACGTTGGCACTGTTTTGGCCATTTTCAAATGCATTCTGTCTTGATAGCAACAAACAATTCAAGCTACAATTTATTCAAATCCAAAAGTGAGTGTTCTTCCATCTACCCTGTCTGCAGAGCCCAGTACATTTCTCTTGAATAACAGCTTAACTTGTTACTAGGACAACCAAAAAAGGTGACATCACACCTACTTCTTACACTATGTGTATGCAGAAGGCACCAGAAGATCCAAGTTTTTTCTCTTACTGATTGAAAAGGATCTTATAAGGCACCTCTAATTCTTCTGTTCTAGCAGGTACAGACAAAAAAGAGGCAGTGTAAGCATGACTCTCCAACTTTTAAGAGCAAACCATACCGCAAGCAGTATGCAAGTTCAGTTTGCACCTGTACTCCCAAGACCATCCTTCAGCAAAATATGTAGAGGGTCTCTGAAGCCAAAATAGGCAACTAGGATATCACCACTGAGACCAGTGACCTAATTTCTAACAAAACAGTCACCTTCCCATTCCCATGACCCCACTACTCTGAAGCTGCTTTCTGCAATGGCACAGCTCAGCAGGAAATTGCAGCCCTCTGCTTCACCCCAGATCAGTCTATGGCCTCATGGCCACTAAACTCTTCTCTCTAAGCTTGACTCAGTCAAGTAGACAATGTCCTTTGCCCAACACAAACTTTTCCAAGTGTGACAACCCACTCCACATGAAATGCTCTCTACCTTATGGGCTATGGCTGACACTCCTCATTTTTAAAGAAAGCTTTTTCTACACCCTTATGTACATATCCAGCTTCAAAGGCACACATAAGGTAAGTCTGCAACTCATTCCACAAACACTGCTTTAGCAAAATCTCCTCCACATACTCTGAGTA